ACACACACACACACACACACACACAGAGAATAACCCTCCGTTCTAATATAGAGATATAGTTAAATAAAACAAATGGATATACCCTTTGATCCAGCAATACCACTACTAGGTCTGTATCCCAAAGAAATAACAAAAAATGGAAAAGGACCGACATATACAAAAATATTTATAGCAGCTCTTTTTGTGGTGGCAAAGAATTAGAAATTGAGGGGATGCCCATCAATTGGGGAATGGATGAACAAATTGTGTTATATGAATGTAATGAAATACTATTGTGCTATAAGAAATGATGAGGAAAAAAAAAAGAAATGATGAGCAGGCAGATTTCAGAAAAACATGGAAAAACTTACATGAACTGATGCAGAGTGAACTGAGCAGAACCAAGAGAACATTGTACATAATAACAGTAACATTGTGCAATGATCAACTATGGTAGACTTGGCTTTCCTCAGCAATACAATGATCTAAGACAATTCCAAAAGACTCATGATGGAAAATGCTATTCACATTCAGAGAAAGAACTATAGAGTCTGAATGTAGTCCAAAGCATTCTGTTTTCACTTTTTTTTTCTTTCTCATTTTTCCCTTTTGTTGTGATTCTACTTTCACAACATGACTATGTTTAATATGATTGTACATGTATAGCCTATACCAGATTGCTGGCTGTCCTGGGGAGAGAGGAAGGGAGGGAAGGAGAGAGGAGGGGAGGGAGGGAAGGAGAAAAAAATTTCAAACTCAAAATCTTAAAAAAGTGAATGTTGAAAATTATCTTTACATGTAATTGGAAAAAATAAAATGCTTCTAAGTGTGTATGGGGGTAAATTTCCCACATCCCCTCAAAAAAAAAGAAAAAGAAAAAGAAAACAAATGTATCCACTGACAATGTCTAACCATACATGTGCCATTCCGCACCCCATTGTGTACCACCTTTATGCTGGAAGGAGCCAGTCAACAAACTTACTAAGGCTTGCTGTGTTCTAGGCATTGTTTCTACTGCTTAGAATCCCTGTCTGTCCTCCAGAAAAACCAAGGTTCTGGGGCAGCTAGGTGGCGTAGTGAGTAGAGCACTAGCCTTGGATTCAGGAGGACCTGAGTTCAAATCCGGCTTCAGACACATAACACTTACTAGCTGTGTCACCCTGGGCAAATCACTTAACCCCAATTGCCTCACCAAAAAAAAAAAAGAAAAGGAAAGAATATAGGTAGAAATAGGGCAGCTAGGTAGCACAGTGGATAGAGCACCAGCTCTGGAGTCAGGAGGACCTGAGTTCAAATCCGGCTTCAAACATGTAACACTTACTAGCTATGTGACCCTGGGCAAGTCACTTAGCCCTGATTGCCTTGCCAGAAAAAAAAAACAACAACCCTAAAAAGAATATAGGTAGAATAGGTAGAATATACTTCTTTGTGAGGAGTATGAATACCTCTTGGTATTTGTGTCCAGAGAGGGAAGGAGTTAATGGTAATGATGATAAATTTTGAGCTAGATGTGCCTCAAAAGAAGAGAGATCACTGAGGGATGGTGATACTTGGGTGGTTTAAAAGCAGCAATGGAGAGTAGTGACTGTGCTCAGCCCTCCTTCTGACCAAAGACACAGATAGGCATTATCGCTCCTAGGGCAAGTTGAGTTGGAGTGGGAGAGATGCTTATCCAAGGTATGAAGAGACCTCAGAATCCTATCTGGCTCATTGCATGCCCATTACTGCTGACCTCAGGTATCCTAAGTGAAAGGCATAGACCTCCAGGCCCTGTGTCAGCACAATATAGACATCCCCAGAGAGGAGTGATATGTCGTCCAGAGACTCTGGTGTACCGCTCCTCCATGGCACAGCAATGACTCCTAATCCTTGACCTCTCTAATCCCTAAAAGACTGAGGAAAAGGTGGTAGATTGAGGAGAGTACAGAAGTAGAGGAGGACAAGTTCCAGGAGGGGGTAGCTGACATTGACAGATTCTTGGGGAGAATGGCGTGGGGCCACGTGTTAGGGCCAAGGGAAGAGAGACAGCCACCTAGTCATTTTATATCATTGCTTCAGGGAGCAAGGCATAGGAAATGACCTGTGTAAATGCTTGGAGAGGTGAGAAGGCAGGTAGAGTTCAGTTGAATCATAAATTTTAGTGCAGATTACGACTCCTTTACACAGTGTTTTTTGTATGATTCTTGTGTGTGTATGTGTGATTCTGTAAATCTGCCATAAAGAATCTCCCCAGTATGTCTACTCGCAGTGGATATATAGTTCACCAGTTTTTCTGATTATATATGATTTGGTGTTCCATGATATATAGCCATATAAGATGACCAGGAGAATATTGGTCATAAAGATAGACATTTGCTGCAGCAAGTAACCTGCTACATATGTGTATGCCACACACGTAACAGAGCTAGGTGGTGCAGTGGATAGAGCACTATGCCTCAAGTCAGGAAAACTTGAGTTCAAATTCAGCTTCAGGACATTACTAGCTGTGTAATCCTGGTCAAGTCACTTAACTACTCTCTGCCTCATTTTCTTCATCTGTAAAATGGCAAAATGATAGCATCTGCCTCCCAAGGTTGTAATGAGGATAAAATGAAATAGTATTTGTAAAGCTCTTTGCAACCTTAAGGTGTTATATAAATGCTAGCTATTGTTATTATTATTATTTACACATATATGTATATATGAAGTTACAGATTAGAATCCTGTGATTTTAACATATGCTTAGGTGACATCTTGTTTGAGGAGAGCCTTTACTCTTAATATTTTGTTCCACTTAATCAGATTTTTTCCCCCTCAAATCAACAAACAATAGATATAGTAAGATCTTATATTTGTAGACTTTTGAGTCAGTTGTATGATACTGAAGATGACCACTGTGTAGAACAGCATCCTCCAAAGCCTGCTTTCTCCTTTATCATGTTGTCATTTAGAATATTTTTTATATGACTATAGATAGCTTTAATTTCTTCATCTGGAAACTGCCTGTTCATATCCTTTGACCATTGATAATTGGAGAATGACTTATATTCTTATAAATTTGACTCAGTTCTCTACATATTTGAGAAATGAGGCCTTTATCAGATACACTTTCTGTAAAAATTGTTTCCCAGCTTTCTGTTTTCCTTCTTACCTTGCTTGTATTAGTTTTGTTTGTGCAAAACCTTTTAAATTTAATATAATAGAAATTATCCATTTTATAACTTGTAATGCTCTCTATCTCTTGTTTGATCATAAATACTTTCCTTCTCCATTGATCTAACAGGTTAACTATTCCTTGCTCTCCTTTATCATGTTTTCCTTAAAGCACTCCTTGCTTTCATGCATAGACCATTCTCATAAAGATTTATAGAACTGAGGGTATACATGGAGCTGGAAGACAGTGTAGAGATCTTCCAGTCCAACAGCTTTGCTTTATAGATAAGAAAACTGAGTTTCTAAATCATTATTTTTTGGCTTAAATTTTGGCCATCTTTTCTGTTTTCAAGAATCCCTCTTTGGGGATGTCTTGAATTGATCCCATGACTTTTTAAAATCGTGAAGCCTCCAGCATGACTTTGTTCTCTGGAATCGATTAGGTTCCATTGCTCAATAATACTTCAATAATACTTGACACGTGAATAGCATTTTACAGCTTTTAAAGCACTTTCACATACTTTACCTCATTGAGTCCTCAGAACAGCACAGTGAGGGATGCAAGGCTAGAATTATCCCCATTTTATAGAAGAGGAAACTGCACCTGAGATTGGTTAATTGACCTGCCAAAGATCGCAGGACACAATGACCATCCTGGTCTCTTTCTACTATGCTATACTGAGTTACTGTCTAGCAATTCCTGTCTAGCAATGCCTAAGATTATCTTTTTAGAATGTGTCTGTTCTCCCAAACCAGACTGTAAGCTCTTTGGCAGCATTTGGAAACATCTTATTACCTTTTTTTGTTGTTTCCTATAGTGAATGTCATATAAAAGGTATTATGGAAATGGTGTTTTATTAATGTCACCTGTTGTTAAATGTTAAATATCACCTATCAGAGCCCAAACTGGACATTTCTGGGTCTTCTGGTGCTTGTGCCAGTTTTTCTTTTGTATGACAAAGTATATAACTTAGAATGGACAAGTGGATCTATTCTGAGTTGGTAGCTATAGGATATGAAATATCGTCCACCTTTGGTGTGAAAAACAGAGCTATATTCTACTGATGAGTCTTGAAAAGTAGATGGACTACGAAATTATATTGACTAAACTTGGCTCCCAAAAAGGTACCTCCCTCTCACCACTTCCACCCTGCTTTTTTGTAAAGGTGAGGGACTGCAGATGTGCCATATGGTATATAATGTCATACTTTTTAAGAATATTGCTTAATTTTACTGAACTAGTTTTTTCTTCTTTTTTATATAGAATGTCTCTCTGGGGGTATTTTGGTGGGAAGGCATACTTTGGATAACATAGGTGATATAAAAATAAATGCTATCAATGAATAGTTATTTTGAAGGAGAAAAAAGAAAGAAAAATAGTTTGGGAAGAATCTGGTTTCTCATCCCTGACATGAATTTTGCCAGGGTGTGTAGAGGTAAGGAAGTAACTTTATTTTGCCTGAATCACTTGGTTTTAGTAACTAGGAGATCTTTTATATAGAACTAGTATGAAGTTACTTCTCAGCCATGGTCAGCTTGACTCTTTGTCTTATTAGGTGGAAGGAGGAATATGGCTTTGTTCTGTTACCAGAATTAATGGTAAATCTATATAAGTTGGGCCTTGTATACAATTCGGTGTCTCTACTAGATGTGGCTTAAAATGACATTAGTTACTGTGATTTGCTTGAGACCTGGTGGAAACTCATTTTGTCCTCAGTTGAGAAATGTATGACCTCAAGATTAGAAGCTGGGGTTGGAGTCCTTAACCATCGATTATAGCTCTCCTTTTTTCATCTCAGTTTGCAGGAAAGCCCCTGGGAGGCTCTTCTGGGAGGTCCCCAGCTCAGACCCAGGAGCTCTGAATCTTCTTATCTTTGACTTTTCTTTAGGTTCATTATATCCTGCAAGAAGTGGTGATGGGTGGTATGGTACTGGAAACGAACATGAATGAAATTGTGGCTCAAATTGAAGCTCAAAACAAATTGGAGAAATCAGAGGTGAGTAAGCCCTTGGGATTCCATTCCAGTGGAGGTGAGTGTGGTTTTGTTAGACAAAGACAGCCAGCAGAGGGGATATATAGATTTATTACTTCACTTTGCCTTCCTACAGCTGTCTTTTTCTTCTTCCATGGGGTTGGGCGGGGTGTAGTAGGAAAAGCACCAGATGAGAAAGGAGAAGCCCTGGATTGGAGTCTTGGCTCAGTTAAGGTATCTCAGAGTTGGAAAGGAATTCAGAATCTGTCCAGTTCAACTTGTACTTGAAGAAGAATTCCTTACACATCACAGCCCTAACGGTGGATATCCAGGGTCTGCTTGAAAACATCCAGTGATGGGGCATGCTAAGCCTATCTCATGAGGCATTCCACACCATTTGGGAATGATATGAATTATTCATTTTTTTCCCCCTTTGTCAAATCTGTCTTTCTGCAGCTTCCATCCCTCACTCCTAGTTCTGTGCTCTGAGCTTAAGTACATACTCTTCTCCATAATAGCCCTTCATATGCTCGAAGATAATCGTCATGTGCCCCGGAAGTATTCTGTTCCTTACCATTGGAGTGTATGGTGTGGAGTCCTTTCTGCCTCTTAGAGATATGCAAGTTTTTCAGTGGCTTTCCTAAATGTGGCACACAGAATTAAATATAGCACTCCCAGAGTGGTCTGACAGATTCAGGTGGTACTGTTGTCTCCCTTTTCCACCGTCCCTCTCTTAAAGCAACCTAAGATTGCATTAGTTTTGTGTTGCTAATGAGCTTGCAGTTCAGCACAACCCTCAGATTTTTTTTATAGAAATTGTTTCATCACAGTTTCCACATCCTAGATTAGTGAATCTGTTTTTTGAACCAAGTTTATGACTTTATGTGTATCTACATTATTAAATTATTTTAAAATGTAAACTATTTTTCTAATCATAAAAACAATCACTCGCAACTATCCTTTGAATCTAGTCATTCAGCCACTACCAAATATACTTAATTGTCATCTAGCCTGCATCTGTCTTGTCCAGAAAGATAGAATGTGAGATTATCAAATGATTTGCTTAAATTATTTCCCTATATAATAGCCCTGTCAAAAAAGGAAGTGAGGTTAATTTTGCATGACCTGTTCTTAGTGAAGTCATGATGACTCTTAATAATCATCACTTCCCTATCTAAATGTTTGCAGATTTTTCTTTGTGTCATTATGTTGTCAATCTGATTTTATCGGTTTGGGTACTACTTTCATAGATGCAGATCGTAAGCGTCTATCAGTTAAATAGACCATCTTCAGGAGTCTCTGTGGCTGAAAAATTAGTCCCCTTGCAGCCAAATTGCTGATTAGCCTCTCTAAACCTTGCAAGGCTGATCCCTGGGAGTAACCTACATGTAGTCCATCACTGGGACTACAATTTAAGTCATTCCAGCTTGGTAGTTCCTGCTAGAGCTTATGCCTTGTTGGCATAACCTTGAAGAACCCAGCTTACATCTGCACCATAAGATGTCAAAGTAAGTCCTGAATCCCATATTATAAAATTTTGCCAGGAATTGAAGTCAAGCTCACAGCCTACAATTGTCTTTTTCTCTTCTTTGGAAAATTAACCGTTGCTCTTAGTCCTGTAGCACCTCTTCTGATCTCTGTGATTCATCAAAGATCACCGAAAACAGCTCAGCAGTCACATCCGCCATTTCTTTTAATATTGGCGTGTGAGTCATCCAGATCTGGTGAGGGGGCAAAGAGGTGCAGAGGGAAGAACTCTGGCCCTGAGTCAGAGATCTGAGGTTCACATCTTTTTTGTGATGCCTATGACCTGTATGATCTTAGGCAAGTCACTTGACCTCTTTGGTTTTCTCATGTTTAAAATGAGGGGGTTGGGCTAGATGGCCTCTGCGGCCCCTTTCGACTATAGATAGGCTTATTGATTGATGGAGCATTCATTGAGTGCTTACAGTACTGTATGCCAGGCATTGCACTAAGTGTGGGGACACAAATACAGGCTTGCATTCTGTTTGAGGAAAACCACAAAAAAATGGCCCTAGAAAGTGAAGGGGGTGGGGAGGTATAGATGAAATGGCATAGAAGGGGAGGAGGAAACCTCAGGGCTGACGTTTCTCCAGGGTAGCAAAGTGGCAGGCAAGGAGTCTGGAGAGAATATCTAGGCAAGAGTGCTAGGTTTTTGAACAGTTCTTACGGTTTTACTTACTGAAAGTAGTTAAGAACGTTCATATGCTTGCTTGCTTTCTCTCTCTCTTTTTCTTTCTTTCTTTCTTCTCTCCACACTTTTCTTGGGTGAGGAGATAACTCCCAGTTAGCCTTTTTTGCATGATTCTTTCTAATCTGAAGATCATTTTTCTTACTAGAGAAAAATAGAAGCAAAATTAGATTTAAATAGTTCTTCCTTCTCTGTGGGAGCTATTATCATCATTCTCCCTATTTCCCCAGCAGCCATCTTTCCTCCTTTAATTGTCTTCTTGTCTTTTTGTTGTTGTTCAGTCGTTTTTTTAGTTATGCCTAACTCTTTGTGACCCCGTTTGGGGTTTTTCTTGGCAAAGATACTGGAGTGGTTAGCCATTTCCTTCTCCAGGTCCTTTGACAGTTGAGGAGACAGAGGCAAACAGGGTTAAGTGGCTTACCCAGGATCACATAGTAAGTGTCTGAGGCCAGATTTGAACTCAGAAAGATGAATCTTCATGACTCCAGACCCAGCACTATTCACTGTGCCATGTAGCTGCATTCTCTTGTCTCTTAACATAGCTTTAAAAAAAAAGCTCTATTTGTAGTTATTGACATTTATCCCCATCAGATTTCAAATTATATTAAAAATCAGTAATCAAAACAATTTGATACTATCTCAGGAACGGAACAGTAGATCAGTGGAATAGATTAGGTAGGTACACAATATACAGAAATAAATTAGCATAGTTATCTGATGTTTGATAAACCAAAATATCTAAGCTTTTGGGGCAGGAACTCATCATTTGACAAAAATTGCTGGGAAAACTGGAGTGACTCTGGCAGAAATAAGGCATAGATCAACATCTTACACCATATACCAACATAAAGTGAAAATGGGTACATGATTTAGACATCCAGGGTTATATAAGCAAATTAGGGGAGCATGAAAAGTTTTACCTGTCAGATCTATGATAAAGAAAGATTTTGTGACTAAACAAGATAGAGAGGATCATGGAAAGTAAAATGGATAATTTTGATTACACAAAATTAAAAAGGTTTTGCACAAACAAAACCAATGCAGCCAAAATTGGAAGGAAAGCAGGAAACTGAAAAAAGTTTCTCTAATAAAGGCCTCATTTCTTAAACATATAGGGAACTGGGCCAAATTTATAAAAATAAGAACCGTTCCCCAGTTGATAAATGGTCAAAGGATATGAACAGGCAGTTTTCAGAAGAAGAAATCAAAGCTATCAGTAGTCATAGGGAAAAAATGCTCTAAATCACTATTGATTAGACAAATGCAAATCAAAATAACTCTGAGATACCACAACATACCTATCAGATTGGCTAACATGACAAAACAGGAAAATGATAAATATTAGAGAAGATGTGGGAAAATTGGAACACTAATGCATTGTTGGTAGAGTTGTGAACTGATCCAACCATTCTGGAGAGGAATTTGGAACTATGCCCAAAGAGCTATAAAAATGTGCATACCCTTTGACCCAGCAATACCACTTCTAGGTCTGTATCCCAAAGAGATCATAAAAAAGGGGAAAGGACCCACATATACAAAAATGTTAATACCAGCTCTTTTTGTGGTGGCAAAGAATTAGAAATTGAGGGAATGTCCATCAATTGGGGAATTACTAAACAAGTTATGGTATATGAATGTTATGGAATATTGTTCTGTAAGAAATGATAAGCAGACATATTTCAGAAAAACCTGGAAAGACTTTTATGGACTGATGCTGAGTGAAGTGAGCAGAACCAGGAGAACATTGTACGTAGTAACAGCAACATTGTATGATGATCAACTATAATAAACTTAGCTCTTCTCAACAACCCAGTGATCCAGGACAGTTCCAAGGGACTCATGATGGAAAATGCTGACCACAGCCAGAGAAAAAAACTGTGGAGTCTGAATGCAGATTGAAACATAGTATTTTCACTTTTTTTTGTTTTTTGTGTCTTTTCTTTCTTGTGGTTTTCCCTTTTGTTCTGAGTCTTCTTTCACAACATGACTGATGTGGAAATATGTTTAACATGATTATACATGTATAATCTATATCAGTGTTTGCTGTCTTTGGGAAGGGAGGGAGAAAAATTTAGAGCTCAAAATCTTACAAAGATGAATGTTGAAAACTATCTTTACATGTAATTGGAAAAAATAAAATACTATTAAATTAAAAAAATGATGAGGGAGATAGTTTCAGAAAAACATGGGAAGACTTATGTGAACTGATGCAACCTGAAGTGAGAAGAACCAGGAGAACGCTGTACACAATACTAGCAATAGTTTAATGATGAAGACAGTGATTCATGACAAAGGACTCATGATGAAAAATGCCATCTACCTTCAGAGAAAGAAATGATGAACTCTGAGTACAGATTGAAGCATATTGTTTTCACTTTTTTTTTCTTTTGCCTTTTTTTTGGCAACATATGGAACACATAGCTAATGTAGAAATATGTTTTACATGACTTCATGTGTGTAATGAGTACATTGCTTACCTTTTCAATGGGTGGGGAAAGGATTAGAGGGAGAGAATTTAGAACTCAAAAAAATATTTGGAGAGAAGATTACTCCTCAAGACAAAAAAGAAATAAAAAATTTCATCCCCACCCTCTGCTTATTTTAAAAAGCTTCAGTGCTCCTGAAGATACTCTTTTGCAATACTGCCATTTTTTTCCTTATTGAATATAAGCTTCTTGAGAGCTCAGATGATTCCATTTGTGTGTGTGTGTGTGTGTGTGTGTGTGTGTGTATTCAGGACCTGGTCCTATGCCTACTATGTAGGATGCACTTAATAAATGGTTATTAATTGGTTGCTTTTGTATTCATTTTCATTTGTTAGCCCTTGCTTCCATCCATCTATATTTTAATAATCAGTAATAGTAAATTCTCTATTCATTCACATCAATCTCTTTAGACAACTCCCTCTTTTTCTTCCTTGTCAAGATTGTATGCTTTGCCTTCAGAATTTAATTCTAAGAATATTCTCTCTCTCTTGGGCTAGCTTTCCCTATAGAATTTTTGGCCACGAGATCCTACTCTCAGAAGTCACCTTTCAATATATCTAGGGGACATGTCAGACCCATCTTCCCTCTCCTTTTATATCATAGATTTTAATACAAAATAGTAACTTCCTCTCAAGGTTCTCATTTCTACTTTAGCAACCAATTCCTTCATATTTTTCAGAATCAGGTCCAGAATAGCAGCTTCATTTGTCACTTTCCCTACTTTTTGAACAATTAAATTATCATTAAGGCAAGATAGGAATTATCAGCTGCTTTGCTTTTGGAACAGGGTTCCTGCATATCTGAAGTTCCACACTACTGCTATATCATGTCTCCTTGCCAGGTTTGTGATCTGTTTCCCAAATTCTTTGTCTGTTTTCTCTTGGCTAGGTGGTCCTATCACAATATAGCTCCATTTCTTCTATTAAAGAATCATTCTTGCTAATATTATTTCCTTTTCTAATTCCTGGATTTTCTTACATGAAATTTCTAGTGTCACTCTGCACTTATTTTATGTGTTCTGTTCCTTTTGAATAAAGTATACATCATTGGATGTCATCACTGTATTCTAACCATCAGTCTTATCCCACCAATTCTCAGTGATTCCTGTCACTGAAAGGCCCCAATTTTTTTTCACATATCTTTTTTTTATTAATTTATTTTTAGTTTTCAACAATTGCTTCCATAAGCTTTTGAGTTTTAAATTTTTCTTCCCCTCCCTCCCCTTCTCCTTCCCCAAGATGGCTTGCAATCTGATATAGGCTCTACATATACATTCCTATTAAACATATTTTCACATTAGTCATGTTGTAAGGAAGAATTAGAATCAGTAGGAGGAACCACAAGAAAGAGGAAACAAAACAAAACAGAAGAAAAAAAGGGGGCAGATAGTATACTTAGATCTGCATTCAACCTCCATAGTTCTTTCTCTGGATGTGGATAGCATTTTCTATCATGAGACTTTTGGAGATGTCTTAGATCCTTTCATCGCTGAGAAGAGCTAAGTCTATCAAAATTAATCATCACACAACATAACTGTTAATGTGTACAACATTCTCCTGGTTCTGCTCACTTCACTCAGTTGGTATAAGTCTTGCCAGGTTTTTTTGAAATCCACCTGCTCATCATTTCTTGTAGCACAATAGTATTCCATTACATTCATATACCACAACTTGTTCAACCATTCCCTAATTGATGGGAATCCCCTCAATTTCCAATTCTTTTGCCACCACATAAAGAGCTGCTATAAATATTTTTTGTACATGTGGGTCTTTTTCCCATTTTTATGAATTCTTTGGGATACAGCCCTAGAAGTGCTATTGCTGGGTCAAAGGGTATGTGAAAGGCCCAACTTTGCCCTCTTCATTAAGATGCCTAGTTAATTTTGTTTATTAGCTTACTTTGTACATGTTTATCTAGACACTAGGGCAATTTCCTAGCTTTGTGACAGAAATTTATTTCCAAAGTCACTTAGTCTCCCTGGGCCTTCATTTCCTAATTTATAAAATGTATAACTTCTCTTTCTCATAAAGTTTTTTTGAGGCTTTATGGGGTATAATTTATACAAAGCACTCTGTAATTGTAAACAATATACAAACATGGATAGTAGTTATCCCAGTTAAGCTACTTATTTGTTGTTTTTCAGTCATTCGTACATGTCCGTTTGGCTGGTTCTTCATAACCCTGTGGACCATAGCACACCAATTCTGTCCATGAGGTTTTCTTGGCAAAGATATTGGAGTGGTTTGCCATTTCCTTCTCCAGTGGATTAAGATCAACCGAGGTTAAGTGACTTGCCCAGGGTCACACAGCTAGGAAGTGTCTGAGGCCAGATTTGAACTCAGGTCTTCCCAACTCCAGACCCACTAAGTTGTCTAGCTGCCTCTTAAGCTCCTTATACCAGTGGCCAAACCTAAAAAGCAAACAGGTAGGAAGGAAATTGGAAGTGGCAGGCTTTTCATTGCTTGTAGTATGGCTGGGAAAGCCAATTAGTATGTCAAGGAGAGCAGCCAACCCCTGACTGTTGGTGTTTTAGTCCACACTTTGGTTCCTTGTGTAACTCTGCCATGCCATTGGCCTTCTGGAGGAGCCCTGGATCAACCTAGATTGTGGTGAAAAGTTCTGCTTTGTATGTCTTCTACCTCTAATGGAGCATACACTTAGAGTTAAAATAGTTCCATTTCAGGGAAAAGTATCCTCCCTCTGATGGATGGATAAACGAACAAGCTTTTATCAAGTGATAATTGTGCAAATCATTGTCCTAAGAGCTGGGGACACAAATGGAAAAGTAAGAGAATACTTGATCTCAAGGAGCCTGAGCACACATAGTAGGCATCAGCTCTGGGTCCAGTGAGACGCGAGGTATTCCTTGGGGTACAGCAGCAAGGCAGATGGTGATAACTCTTTAGTTTCAGTGCCATGTTCATTGATAAAACCATAGTTAAATCTCATGTTGAGGTATTTGACTGTGCTAAGACCTTTGGTGGGGAGAACTTTTCTGGGTCTTTAGCAGCTGTAGCTCCTAAAAAGGCAGGAGGACCATTGATATCTCCATAGGAGGGACTGGAAGCAGGGTGAATTGTCTGGAGGACACTTGGGCTCATCTGACCTTTCACGGTAGTTGGCATTGGTTCTTTTGGGATGGTGAGATTTTTCCAATGGGATTGAACCCCTGAAAAATGGTTGTGGAACTAGGTTGGAAGCAAGGCTGGAGGCTTGAAGGGAGCTGATTTTTTATTCCTGGGGCTGTATGGGATTGTGGGTTGCTTCCACTAGGAACTAAAGGAAGATGTGGTCAAGATCAGGGCAGTGATTTGATCTGCCTGGTACATGCTGCCTTCTGGATACTTTGTTGCTTCAGCTGTCTTGCTAGGTGACATTGAAAAATCAGAGTTGGTTCTTTCTCTGTTTTCCATCTTTTGTAAGAAGCTAGATTTGGGTTAATATTAATGTTTGAATCTAACATACTAAATTTCCCCTCGAATTCTCCCAGTTTCCTGAAGCAATTAAATTACTCTATTTGGCTAAGCTACAAGAAATTCTCTCTTCCATGAAGCATGGAAGTTTGTGATGTGGAAATCTTTCTAGACTACTGCCATAGTGGCAGTTGTGGTTTCTTTAAGAGTATTGGCTAGCAGGCTGCTAGAAATAGTGAATGAATCAGGATCAAGTGGTTTTATAGCTGATGGAAAAATAGACTTTCTGGGTGAGGGTAGGTTCTATGTTAACATACTGGAAATGGACAGTTAGAAAAAAGGGATCTTGAGAAACATCTCTGACAACCTCTCTCCCTGTCCTAATCTCCCCTCTCTTCCCCTCCCTCCCATGCCTATTGTAGATGATGGGGAATTTTTGGCCACCAGCTGCCTTCATCTGCTTTTCATTACAAGTCCTGCCAGTTGTACTGCACTATGGGGCCCTCCACCTTCACATGCGTGTCATTGGTTCCCACATTATATCCATGTGAAGTTTCCAAAAGCCAACTCTTTCCTGTCTCTTGCAATCCCATTGGCACATGACTGAAAATAAAGCAATAGAGTTTCATTTCCCTTCCAAAAAAGGTTTGTCTGTGACTGTTAATTTTCTATGGAACTCTAGTTGCCAAGATATCTGGCCTAAAAGAAAGTATGTGATCTTTCTCCAAATGTAATAACACATTTGCCTAGCCTTAAAGCATGGAGAAACCATATCCAATAAAGTGCAGAATTTAGTTCCTTACACTGGACTTTGAGACTATTATATGAAGAATTGCTTGTTATACTTGAAGAATGAGATGGAAAAAATCAGAACTGGGAAGTATCATGGTGCTATGGGAAGTTTTGGATCTAAAATCAAAAGACTTGGGTTTGAATCTTGACTCTGGTACTTAATACTCACATGACTTAGGCCAATTAAGCCTCTCTGCTTCTCAGTTTCATCATCAGTCCTTGGACCTTTATTTGCTTAGCATTGACCATAAGCATTCGTTTGTCTTCTGTTTTTTAGCATTAAACAGGAACTCAAGAACCTATGATGATGTAGTCCTTTTGTCTCATGTTTGTATCTCTTTTCTCCCACTAGGGCGGCCTTTCAGCAGCCCCTGCTCGGGCTGTATCTGCAGTGAAAAACATTAATCTCCCTGAGATTCCTCGGAACATCAATATTGGGGATATCAACATCAAAGTTCCCAATCTCTCCCAGTTTGTCTGAGGACTGAAGTAGCATCAGACAGATCGAGCAAAACGGAATCTCTTTGAAAACCCAAGGCCAGGATGATCATGGATTTGAGCAGAATTTAAGTCTTAGCAACGTTACAACCTAAGGCCTGGTCTCTTTTTGTTTGGGCAGACTCATGGGTGTGGGATTAGGGAATAGTCAATGTCATATCACGATCTCTGTGCACATGTCCAGCATGAAGTTCTTCATTGCCTACAGGTACAACATTCATGTAGGGGATGCATATCCCACTTAAGCAAATCAGCTAGCATTCTCAAATCCATTTTCTTCTGCATGCTGAATCTCCCCAAGGGTGGTGGTTGTTTGAGTTAGTCCCCACAGATTCTAGTGGGGCTGATATCTAGAGGATCATTATTCTCAGTGCCACAAGATTCTTGTGGTGGTTATACCTTTTTGCTAGGTGCCAAGGATTGGCTCTTTAGATTCAGATTCAGGAAAGCTGGCTTTCCTCTGAAGTCTATCAGAAAATGATAGGTGTGGGGGACTAATTTTCATAGAAGTCTGAATCACCTGCTGGCTGGATTAAGGTGATTGTAGCTAATATTCTTCTCTCTAGTCATGCCTGTGTATAGCAAATAACATTTCTTTCCCCAAGAAAATATCTTCTCATCTGTCAAGAATCCAAGATCTGTTTTCTCTGGTGTTTTATGAGAAGTCTGTAGTCAGAAATGTGACAGCAGCTGCTTATCCATAGATTGACAATGGATCTTCAACCACCCAACTTCTCAGCAGATGATAAATCTCATAAGTTCCCTACCTAAGGAATGGCCCTGGCTGAAGGAGTACTTTTGGGGCTGGGAGACTTACTTTTGTAGCAGTTAATGTGAGATGATATTTGGATTATTTTAGGCTTATAGTTGTGTTGTGGTCTTTTATGAAGACTCTTCCCTTGGCTTACCTTCAGTTGGGAGTTCTAAGTTCAGGGCTGAATGTTGCTTCTGTCTCTTCTATATCACAAACCCATTGCAGTTTCCTTATAAAAGATTAGGACAGGGATCTGGTAAGAGTAAAGGAGCCATGTGTTTGTGGGGGGTCAAGGTGAGAAATGGAGATGTTCAAGGATTGTAATGAGGAATGTAATGAGCTTAATCTTTGGTTGAAGATAACGTGTTAATGAGTTTAAAGAGTTCGAAGACAGGGTGTGTCCCTTTCCTCTGTGGTAATAAATATACTTCTCCATGACTTGCATATCTTTTTTTATGATAAATTTATAGTTAAACTGCACATGTCAATATTCAAATTCCTATCCTCCCTACCTGCCTTTCCACTGGACCTGATCAGATGCTGCAAAATATTTATTTCAACAGCACACTGTGTTACCTGTGTGGTCAAATGCTTCCTTTAATTGTAGTAATAAATCTTTCAACCTAATTGGAACCTCTGTTTTGTACAAAACTGTGTGTGCTGTCCTCTTCCGCTCCAAGGGAGGGTGTGGGGAACTGAGCTGTTATTTTGTTTTTTAAGCTTCCCGAGAAGGTAAGTTTACTCTACTTGTAGGACTGCGGTTGAAGAATATTTTTGTCTGTATTTGAATTGTGCAATTCTTTTCACCCTACCACATTTTTCTTTGAAAGAAAATCACTGTCATTTCACATTGACTTTCCCTCTTCCTAGTAATAAATAGATATAATTGTGCAAAACAAATCAACATATTGGCTGTGTCTAAAAAACGTGTGCTTCGTTTTATACCTACTGTTTGCCACGTCTCTGCCAGTATGCCTACCTGGAGTAAACTTTGACTCCAGCCCTGGAAGCAAACGAGGTTCCTGTAGAGCAGGTTCTCTTTGAGAGACTTAGTCCTCCTCAGACCAGACGACAAACTGAAGTTAACAGAGACATTTACTTTATTGGGTGCTGCTAATATGTAGATTTAAAGCTGAAAAGGACTTCAGATGCCATCTGGTTCAGTCCCTTCATTTCACAATTGAGGAAACTGAAGTCTTCAAGAATATACAGGTAGTGATGTCAGAATCAGGATTTAATTGAGCTCAGTTCACCTGAATTGGACTGGAAAATCAGTGCTCTTTCCACAGCAGACATATAGGAATAATTCAAAAAAGCCCAAGTTATTATTTTAAAATTATCTCTTTTATCTGTCAGAGAATGTAGCAAATCTGCTGGATATAAAGGCAGGTGACACCTTTTGACATACAGTATGTCTCAGGGAAATTTCTTGTTGCCTTATATGTATTTTAAATACTAAATTTTAAAATGTAAACAGAAATAATGAGTGATGTGAATTTTGATACAGATTATGCAATACTCATATTAGGAGTAATATGAAGTATGAGGAGTAAGAGGAGTAGGAGTAAGTGTTATTTGGTTGAAGACAAAGGTGGAGAAATAGGCAAGCATAGTTAGAGGTCACTAGCTGGCTTGTTCTCCCAAGCCTTGTGAAGTCTTAATTTATGTTCCACATTTGTGGCAGGGAGTACTGGGACATATTCCATATATGTTCAGTCATACAATGAAACTCAATCGTTATATAATAGTTCAATGAATCTAACTGTTCTGTCATTTGTATGCTGGGTCTCATTTGGTAAAAGTTATCTCTAATCCTTTTTAACCAAGGGTTTTGTACTTTGTAAATGCATCATGTACTTAAATTCTCAATATTCCACCAGAGTATGTCATCCATTTGAATAATCTTTGTTAGGTATGTGCAGAGTTAACTTTTAAGTGTTGGGGGAAAAATAACTTTACTCCAGTAAAGAATATGAACTCTTTTGTTTGCAATTAGTATAAGGCTTGAGAATGAACGAATGAAAGGAAGAAGGAAAAAGCATTTATTAAATGCTTACTGTATGCTAGGCATTGTGCTGAGCACTGGGGATACAAATACAAGCAAGCAAACCAGTTCCTCTCTTCAACAGCTTACATTTTAACATTGGAAGATAGCTTAAATAGGGGAGTGTTTTGGGCAGGGAAGTCAAATGGAATCATAAGGAACTGATTGATATGTTCTTTCTGGGGATACTAATGTTGATTTGATTACTGTTTTGAGAGCTGGAGTTAGAAAGGTGGTATAGTTACAGCAGCATGGCATGAAGATGCCTACAAAGTAACATGCTGAGTCTAGGTCTCAGCAAGATAATTTTAGTCTTTGAATCTCATCAATCGAAAGTGCATAGTCTCCGGGTGGGAGCTTGAGTTAGGTTGGAGGTAGAGGTTGGAATGTAGGAGCTGGCACTTTGGAGATAACTAAGATTCTTTGGACCTTCATTTGTGCTGATTCACTTTTGTGAGACTGTAGACTAAGATTTAGTCATGAATTTTCTGTAGCTCCTATAATTTGGACGTAACAAAAAGAATATTGAACAGATAACTGTTTTTGCTTAACAGACATATCAGGAGTTTCCTCTAAGTCGTAACATACTATGCAATATCTAAAACTGTCATCAGTTATACGATATGTTTTACATGGTGAAGAACTGCTTATATCAAAACCACCAGGTACTTGGAATAAATATGATGAAGAACTGGAAGCCAATTTGGTGCCTATCAAAAGGGGAGTGACTGAACAAGTTATGGCATATGAATGTGATGTAATACTATTGCATTATAAGAAATGATTAAAGCATTGGTTTCAGAAGAACCCGGGAAGATTTGTATGAATGCATGCAAAGTGAAGTGAATGGAACCAGGGAAACAATTTATACAGTAACAATATTGTAAAAACAAACAACTTAAAAAGACTTAGTAACTCTGATTAACACAATAACTAGCCACAATCCCAGATCCCAGAGGACTCAGATGAAACAGGCTGCCGCCTCCAGCGGGAGAAGTAATGGACTCAAAATGCAGATTCTTTCTCTCTCTCCCTCTCTCTCCCTCTCTCTCTTTCTCTATTTCTACCACCCTCATAATTAAATTTAAGGGAGAAAAAGAAAGGCTTTCTTTACCATTAAATTTAGTTTAATGAAAAATTTTGTCAAAGTGATGGATCAAAATAATATAGGTTTTCTTTACCTGAATAATAAACAGGCTAAAATCAAAGAGGAGGTATTATTGAGTACTTTGCAAGGCAAATGATGAAAGATGAACATTTTGAGGAAGAGTTGTATGAAGTTAAAGAAGCTTCATAAAATTGTTTTTACGAACAACAACATGTTATTAATAAAGGCAAACTTTACATCCCTGCAAGGGAAGGTGACACTTGTAACTCTTGAGAATTGTATCATTATAACATTTAAAAGGGGTATACATAGACAAAGGGCATTGGTATAAGTTGACTTTGATGTGATGTTAAAAGATCGAAGGGGTGGAAAGGGATTGTTCTGAGAGAACTCTGAGGAAAGGAGAGGCAGATGAGGGTAAACTATATCACATGAAAAGGCACAAAAACTTACAGTAGAGGGAAAGAAGGGAGGGAGATAAGAATTGTTTGAACCTTACTCTTACCAGATTTGGCTCAAAGAGGGAATAACATAATCAGGTATAGAAATCTAACTTACCTTATAGGAAGTAGGAGAGGAAAAGGGAGGGCAGACTGAGGGAGGTGGTCAAAAGCAAAACTCTAGTGAGGAGGGAAAGGGAGAAAGAGAGAAAAGCATAAAAGGGAAAATAGGATGGAGAGAAAGACACAGATAGTAATCATAACTGTGAATGTGAATGGGATGGACTCTTCCACAAAATGGAAATGGATAGCAGAGTGGATTAAGAACCTTAATCCTGGTGGGGTGGAGCCAAGATGGGGGAGGGAAAGCAGTGATTTGCTAGAGCTCTCCCCCAAACCCCTCCAAATACCTATAAAAAATGGTTCTAAACAAATTCTAAAGCAGCAGAACCCACAAAAAAACAGAGTAAAACAAATTTCCAGCCAAAGACAGCCTGGATGGTTGATCAAAAAGGTATATCACGCTGGGCTGGGAGAGGAGCGCAGTTCGGCGTGGGCGCATAGGCTACAGCGACTCTGGAGCAGGCCTCAGAGGACTGAATTGCAGGCAGCTGTGGTGGCTTCCAGACTTCTCAACCCAGGAACGCCAAAGACAACTTAGAAGGTCAGTGGGAAAAGTCTGGATTTTGGTGAGAGAAGAAGCTAGGTCTCAGCCACCCCCGGGCCTGTGGCTGTTTCCTGAGCTTCTGGCCCACAGACTGAGGGGGAATCAAGTGGCTGATCAGAGGGGGATTGCAGGGATCTCTTTGCCAGGGCTGAGGTAGTAATCTCTTGCTTTGCCTGTGCTTGGATCTGGGTCACAGTTCTGAGGGGCGAGGAGGAGCACTGGTGTGGTGGAGAGGAGACACCTTGCCCTTATCATAGCACCTTGGAAGAACTGACACTTCAGGTCCCTAGAAGTATCTCTGAAAACAGCTGTACAAACCCCTGATGCTTGGGACAGTACATTCTCCACATTGGAAACAGACTCTTACCTTAACAAAGAGTTTAAAACTCAAGTAATTGGTTGGGATCATGAGCAAGCAGCACAAAAAGAGTCAGACTATATTATCTTACTTTGGTGACAAAGAAGATCAAAACATGCAACCAGAAGAAGAAAACAAAGTCAAAGCTTCTACATCCAAAACTTCCAAGAAAAATATGAATCAGTCCCAGGCCTTGGAAGAGCTCAAAAGGGATTTTGAGAAGCAAGTAAGAGAAGTAGAGGAAAAACTGGGAAGAGAAATGAGAGTGATGCAAGAAAATCATGAAAAGCAAGTTAACAGCTTGCTGAAGGAGACCCCCCCAAAAAAAATACTGAAGAACCTTAATCCTACAATATGTTCTTTAAAAACCTAGAAAGACTTATACAAACTGATGCTGAGTAAAATGAGCAGAACCAGGAGAACATTGTGCACAGTAACAGCCACATTGTACGATGACTGACTGATAGACAGCTCTTCTCAGCAATGCAAGGATCTTAGACAACTCCAAAAGACTCATGATGGAAAATGCCATCCATATCCAGAGAAAGAACTCTGGAGTCTGGATAAAAATGGAAGCATACTGTTTTCTCCTTTTCTTTTGTCGTTTCATTTTGTTTCTTCTTTCTCATGGTTCCTTCCATTAATTCTAATTCTTCTTTATATCATGAAGATAATGTGAAATTATGTTTAATATGAATGTATAAGTAGAGCCTATATCAGATTGCACGCTGTCTTGGGGAGGGGGGAGGAGAGGAGAGAAAATTTAAAACTCAAAATCTTATGGAGGTGAATATTGGAAACCAAAAATAAATTAATTATTTTTTAAGATTATTTTTATAAGCCACAACCTAACAATTACTGAAAATTTGTCAAAGATCTTTCCAAAGCCCGTAAACTTAGGTGATGTCACATATTTCTCAAGATCTATTTTTTCGATTCACAGTTGAACTTCTTCCTGGAAAAACTAGGTATTCTTAGTGATGGTCATGAACAACACTTCCAATAAGAATAATCCC